ACTTATTGACATTCTTAATTTTTTAAAATTTTATTTAACACTTAAGAGAAAGTGATGTGCAAATAGTATAATGGTTATCAATGCAGAAAGTGTAATCAGCAAGCAGAGTTCAAGTACTGGCTTTGTTTATTATGTTCACTTTTGCTCTATACTTTTGGAAAAAGCATGAATATCCTTTCTCCCACCAGCTATGGGTTAAACAACCAGTGTAAGAGAAGGACAATAATGAATTCAAAACCACAAAGGTAACAGGAAGCCTCTTAATTATTAACCACCCCACAAGAAGTCATGGCAACTCACAAATGAGGTGAGAATTTTTTTTTTTTAATTCGCCCCAAGCAAGGTGATAATGCCACTAAGACACAAGGAGCTACAGGAAGTGAAAGAAAATTAAAAGACTTGAGAAGGAACCAGAAACTCAATTCTAAAACTGGAAATAAGAGATAAACCTCTACCCATGTTCAAAAGACAGGGAAGGAGTGCAAACCAGGCGATAAGCAAACCTATCTACTCTTATTGAGAAAATAAAAGTAAATAAATAGTAAATAAAATTTCAGCATCAAGGTGGAGATGTTAGAAGTATAGAGTTGAAGGAAAGGGGAGAGAGAGTAAGTGAAAAAGAAAGAATGAGATTATATATATATATATATAATGAGAGAGAGAGAGAATATATTTATATAATTCCTCCCTGAAATTTCAGAAATACTGCAAACCTAATAACCAAGACATCAATCCAAATAAATCAACATATAATGGTCATTTCCTCATTCAAGAAATTTGGACAAAATCTTCTTTTATACCATACAGTGGCAGACTTGACAGATACCCAAGGTGATCTACAGGATACAGTAGTCGAAATGTTACAACTAGAACAATCAAAACAACAATCTAAATAGATCATCATTTCTAAATGAGAATTCTATCATTCAAGAAAACCTCCACAGAAATCAGCAGAATCATAACCAGTAAGTAACATCAACATAATTTTCTGTCTAAATATATAAAATAAAAATATATACAGCATGCAATGGGTAAATTTTTGTCATTTTATATTTTTAATTTCATGCATGAATTTTTTTTTTTTTTTTGTCAACCTCACGGTATAATAGAGTCAGTTGGGCACCATCTGTAAAAAAAAAAGAAAAAAAAAAAGAGCACTATGACAAAATTTGCTACACCAGAAATTTGGAAATAGTATGCTGCACAGCTTGGCATCCGCAACGGAAGCTCCAATATGAATATTTTAGAGTGTCTGGGTGTCAATCTGAGGACAGTGCAGAGGATTTGGAAAGAGTTGGATCAGTCTAATAGTAATTATGAAGGTATGGCAGCTTGGAAAACTCACTAATTGTTCTAATGAGAAAAGAACTGAATTTGCTGTTAAGAGCATCAGACTAAACACAGAGACTTACATCAAGTGCCTTGAGGAGGTCATACTGTTCTGGGTCAAGAGGGTAGCTGCTGGAAGATCCTATGCCTGGCAACAGGACTCTGCACCATGCCACACAAGCAGGAGAACCCAGCCATGGCTGTTAGGCAATTTCTGCAACCACATCCCCCTTATATCTGGCTCCCTAACTCCCCAGACTGCAACCCTCTTGATTATGTATAGGGCAAAGCTAAATGAGAAATCAACAAAACTCCTTGTAATACCAAAGATCAACTGAAGGCAAGGATTATGGCAACATTCACCATCTTAAACAAGGAGACTACCCAGAAGAGTTACAGGAGATTCCAAAGTCATCTGGAGACTGTGGTTGAAGCCAATGGCGATTTTATTGAATAAATTTACTTTAATATTTCAAGATATTTTTGTGCAATTTTGGTAAATATGTGTTAAATGCGATGTCAGTGTTATTTTCATTTTTGCGTAATTTAGACAACAATTTATCAATCACACCCTGTAGGTGAGATGTCAAGAAATATTCAATATAAGGACCTGTATTTATAAACACAGACCTTTGTTGGGATGACTCATTAATCTTTCGAGGCCAGGACATGGTTGCAAAATGTGATGAAAATCAGTATAAATTGATTGGTTATTTTACTGGCATATCAACCACTTTAAGGGTCATTAGTACCTTGTGATATTTTATATTTTTGTTTATATATTTGTGTTGACCAGTAGGTTGTATTTTTATGGTTCCTGATAGGTTGTTGTCTCAGGTTATTATATATTTAAATTCTGGTGTAGAGTCTTTTAGGAAATTCAGTATATCATCTGGTTTAGTATTTTTGAATTAGTCTTTTAAGATAATTGATGGTACTTCATTCAGATTGGGTCAACATTGCTACAGTTAAGTATATATTTCTCTGTGTATGGTTCCAGATATGTAGTGCACATTAGGGGACTCTTCATTTTTAAACAAGTATAAATTGATAAGTCATGAATTGCATTTAAACACAGTGTGTAAGCATGTATTGTATTTCAGTCTTTTCCAAGTATATTATCAATAAAAATAAAATTATTGCTTGTCTGGTAAAAAAAAAAAAAAAAATGCTCTACCAGTGAAGCAATAGGTACTAAACAGTAGAATTCTTTAGCATCCCATATTAACAAAATATCATGAAGAGGCAGCTGAAGTTTCTGGGACACATAATGAGAAAGGAAAGTTTGGAAAATCTGATACTCACAGTTCGAATAGAGGGAAAGAGAGACAAGGGAAAACAGCGTATGACATACCTAGCAGGCTTAAGCAAGTGGATGAAAGAACGTGGTCTGGGGGTGGTAGCAGAGGGAAGGAACTTGTTGAGAGCTGCAAAGGATAGAGGGAGGTGGAAAGCCATGATTGCCTACATCCTAAAAGAACATGGCACATAAAAAAAAAAAAAGAAAACCTTACACAAAATTAAAAAAAAAAAAAAGGTAACTTATTACAGAGAAAATGTCGAGAGGGAATATCTGGTAGTACTCATGAAAATTTCCTTGTTTTCCTATTTGAATTTCTTGATGACACTATTCTTAATTTAATGATTGAATTGGCTCCTTGCAAGTCCTATGACTATAAAATACCCACGGAAATTCTTCTATTGCACTGTTAAATATTTGAGCTTAACAACTTTAACAAAATACTGTAATAACATTCAAATATGAATGCAAATCACTAAAGAAGTAAGAGAGTACAAATGAAACAATTTAAAATTGACTATAAAATACCTGATGAAATTCCACTATTCCATCGTTAAATATATGATTAATTGATTTGTCGGTTTAATATCATATCAACTCCTGATGAGTCATTTAATGCTGAAATTTAATTTTCTCAGGAGCTTTGAAACAATAAAAATATTCTGCTTTCACAATTGAATATATGTTAGATACTCTGCTTTTGTGCATATACCTGTTTGTGTGGGCATAATTAGTACAGGCAGTCATGTCTGTATTTCAGATTTACTTTTGTTTAAGTTATATTTTGGAAAACAGTTTGATTTAAGAAACTGTCAGATATTATATAGATTAATGTCATGAAAGAGTTCTTTCATGTTTATTGTTTGGTTGATTCTGCTTATTGGCACACCAACTTCCAGAAGCCACCCGATGCCGAAATGTAAACACCTTGAACACAATTCCATGGTTTCAACTAAATATATTTTGAATGCAATCGCATGCCTTCAACTGCAGATAAAATGTATTGGACATTTTACTATAAATATGTAATGTTGGTAATTTTATAAATATTTTTGTAATATTTTTTTAATATAAAAATGTATTTTTATACTTTCATAATATTTTGTTTGGGGGGAGGGTCATGATTTGTCTGTAGCTAGGACGTTAAAAAGTGTTACACCGATTTAGGGTGAACCTGGGAAGAACAACAATTCACACTCCTCAACGTCTCCACTTTCCCTGATAAGAGGACAAAAATGGAGTACTGTTGCCATATTCGGGTGGAAGCTACCCAGTCCTTACTTTCCAGTCTTAATAGAGTTCAAAAGCATTTCCGAGTCCTTGTTAGAGAAGAATTATTTTCCACCCTCCAACCTCTCTCTCTCTGGATATGGCAAGTCTCTCACTGCTCTATCACTACTACCATGGAAAGTGCTCAGACGAACTACATTATTTGATTCCACCAGGTCTAACATTCATGGCTAGGACCTGCGATGCCATTTACATAGTAGCGAACTACCCACATTCCCTCTGTATTCTATGAGTGAGAAGTAAGTTCCACTCAGACAGCTTCTTCCTGTGGAACAGACTTCCAATTTTAACCTGTTCATGTCTGGAGTTAACACTATCTTCCCCTCCTATCCATATAAACTACCCCTGTACAGGGTGAGCCCTACTGTAAAAAAACTTTTTAAAAATCAGCTTACTTTCAACAGTATATATATTTTGAATGCAATCGCATGCCTTCAACTGCAGATAAAATGTATTGGTCATTTTACTATAAATATGTAATGTTGGTAATTTTATAAATATTTTTGTAATTTTTTTTTTAATATAAAAATGTATTTTTATACTTTCATAATATTTTGTTGGGGGGGTTCATGATTTGTCTGTAGCTAGAACGTTAAAAAGTGTTACACCGATTTAAAATGCAGAATAGGTTGAAGCTAAAAAGAAGGAATTACGTAGCTAGGCTGAAAACAATGCATATTCTGTTGAATCAAACTCAGGCCAAAATACAATTACACTCTGCTACTAGATGCTAAAACAAGATCTTGATCAATAAACTGAGCATTTCAAAATTCTTTTTAATTTTGTACATCACTATTTTCAACCAAAGATGGAGCTAAAAGTGCACATCTGTTGGTTAAGATAGATTTGATAGATTGCTAGAGATTAAGTACTCATTAAAGTCTCTGGTCTAACAATAGTGATTTACCGATAAAAGATCTACTAATAGATACTACCATAGCTGGGTAGGGAAAAAGAGGTGGATTCATACCATTCCAAAAAGTATCTGTGCATAAGAAAATATAACGAACCGAACTGGAACTGAGCTCTCTGATTTCCAATTCTGAGCCATTATCCATTACATGAGCTACTTATATCAAAGCTTACAGCAATTGGTATTCCCAAGCAGACACCCATCTAAGTACTGACCCGGTCTGACATTGCTTAACTTTGGTGATCGTATGAAAACTGGTGTTTCAATGTGATATAGCTGCAAGCCCAATCTTAAGAAACAAACCTAAATATAAATATTGCAATGTCTACACAACCAATGAAAACTAAACATAAAATTTTAAAACTGAAGCATAATGTATTATGTTGTTTAAAGAATAATTACTTTTTCTTAACTAAATGTTACAATACAAGGCCCAAGAGCCACTCAAGTTAGAGGGTTACTGAATGAAGTAGTTGTATAAACATTTGGAGGAAATAAGAAGTGCTCATTATGGGGATATGTAAGAAAGAAACTGCTTGACTCTGAACTTGAAAACATTAAAATTGTTGTAACTGGAGAAGCACTCTCCTGGTAGTTTGTTTCACAAAGTAGTGGTTCTTGGGGAAAAGGCAGTTTAAGTGGAACTTCCTTCTTACCAATGGAATATGAAGGGAATGAGGATGATTCAACCCTGTGTATGTGGCATGGCAAGACTTAGCTGTGAATGTCTGGAATGGAGGAATGTAGTTTGTAATTTGCCATGAAAATAGAAACAGAGTAGCAAGAGGCTGGCAATGTTTCATCTGTGGAGAAAGAAGCGGTTCTAGAGTAGAAAATTATTCAACACCCACAGGGCTGTCTAAATGCTCTTTCTATTAAGACTGTAAAGAGGGGATTGGGCAGCTCCAGCTCAGATAGAACAGCAATACTCCATTTCTGACTCTTGTCAAGATAAAGCCTGTTAAAAGGGGTCAGATACTTCCAGGACTAGTACAAAGAATTGACCATTTTTGTTTTTCAGCATTTACAGTGATAGTGAAACATTTTAGATTTAAACAGGTTTTATTTATTTATTTTTTTAACTTGTTGCTTTAATCAGAATGTTGTGTATAAAGACAAAACAAAAAGCATGAAGGAATGTTTCACATTTGCTTGTGTAGATAGTAAATGAGAGATTTGGAATCTGGGCTTGAACACTAGTATGTTACTTTCTTTTTAGTCATTTCACTCTAAACAAGACAATAAAGCTACTAAGATGCTAGGGTTACTGAGTGTTAGATAAATATATAAAAAAAATATACTATTAACACATTAGCTACCACATAACCTACCAGAGGGTCATGGTGTTAGGTCTGCAAGGCCCACATGACCTCCTGGTGGGCAGTTTTCTAATTTCTTTTCTATGAGGATTATTGGTAGTAGGATGCTATGATCAAATGCTTATGAGACAATGGCACACCAGAAACTTTTTTTTTTTTTTTTTTTTTTTTTACAAAAAAAATTTAAATATTTTTGAATCCAGAAAATGAGAGTTAGTGTTAATTATAATTGGGAATTTTCCAACAACCCACGGGTGGGTTGTGTAGGGCTCCAGATTGGAAAATAGAGTTGGGTACTGAATGACACACTAGTGGTTTGTGGGTAATAAATACAACCTGTGATATCATTGCCTCATATGAAACAAAGTCGCTTGTACCAAAATTAATTAAGATATAATGTTGGGACCCTGGGACAAAAAAGGAAATGTGGCTTGGGAGCCAATTTGTTAAAGACAGAGGACAATAAAAGACGAGGAATCAAGAAGACAGAAAATAACAAGTGACATTACATTTAAATTTTTGAAGATCAAAGTTGACTGGAAAGCAAGAAGCCGGAAGAGAGGTCCACAGGCAAGAAGTGCAATAGAAGAAACTGTGAGCAGAGAACTTGCATTTACATCTAGCCATTTCCACTGTAAAATGATGAGGCCTTGCTGTCAATCTACTACTGCACTTAAATTCATATATTCTAGATACCATAATGAAAAGTTCATAAGAACAGTTAGCACAAAAGTATTTATAGAAAAGACACGGGGAAGCTATGTTGTAGTGGTACACTTTTGAACCGACTGCTCGGTTGAACTCTCTTCCTACGGACGGGAGGAACCCAAAGGAGTCTCCGCCAAAGGGCAGAGTCTCCTTCGGGGAGGTAAAACCGGCCCTGAACCCGTTTATACGGGTTCAATGGGCATATTTTTGGCCAAGACCACGGGCTCGGAATGCCCACGTTAAAAAGGCCTTGTGCCACATGACACCCTCGTGGTGGGGGGGGGGATTGACTCAATATTATATCATGTTGTAGTGGTGGGAAAGTGAATGAAACCAAGATGCCAGGTCAGGATCAATAACATTGCAGCTTCTTTGGATTTTATCAAGAAAGTCTAAATATATATTTCTACTCTATAACCGCTTCTTTCCCACAGGGGAAATATGTAGCAATTTATTTACTAAACTTACTCAATACACAAGGCCAGCTGTGGCAGTAAATTAGGATTAAACAAACTACTCATTTATAGCTGGTAAGGCCAGCTTGCTAACCATTATGCCAGAGCATAAAGCATCAACATCTATGTATGAGAGCATGCTGAAAATTTCATGGCTAAAACCAAAAATCATTATTTAAAGGACCAAGCACAATACTGAGTTTCAAGGTAGGTTAAGCCAAGAATTTTACAGCAAATCCTTGCATATATAAATTTCACTATTACCAAATCTCAACAGACTTTTTTTCCTTTAAGTATTTATGTATTTTTGGCACAAGACCATAAGTATGTGGCACCCAGTGAGGATCAAACTCATGACTCGGTAGTAATGATTAGCTGACTAGCCATTACATCATAACAAGGCCCTGATCTATTTAAGTATAATTTTCTTATTACCCAATCTCTACTTTTTCTCATTTCAAGGTAACAATTATAGTGCACTTAGTGAGGATCAAACTCACTTACTCAATGAAAGATGAAGGAACTAGTTTTGAGAGCACTACATGTCTGTTCTTTTTCATGATTTGTTTTTCTCTAAGTATTTAAATATTGAAACAACTCTTAAACAAAGTAATAAAAGAAAGAAAGAAAAAGAGACTATTAACAGTAAGAAAAGAGTGAATGCATGGTCATCAGCAAAAGAGGCAACCAAAGGTATGAACTACATATTGGGATGTTAAAATCAAACAGGTTCATAAATTTAAGTATTCCAGTAGTGTAGTAACAAACAGAGAAAATGTGATGCAAAAATCCAAAGGTATATGAAATAGTAAAAGATGTCTTCCAGAAACTAAGCAATATATTAAAAGAAATGAAACTTTCCTTACAAACAAAGCAAAGAGTGCTAAATTGATATTTAACATCTATATGACAGTGAATGCTGAACAGTCTTCACAAATGAAGATGAGATTTGAAGTAATAGAGACAAGTTATGAGAATACCATAGACAGAATATGAACAATGAGGAAATTTTAAGGAAAAATAATTAACACTTATTTACACTCAGAAAGAGACAGATAAAATTTCTTTAATACATTATTAGGAAAGACAGTGGAGAGAATTTAACTCTCACAATTCATTGAAGGTAAGAGAAAATAGTAATCTACTTAAGTTTGTATGGATGGATGGCAGAACAAGGACAAAAAGGGATAGCAAAATATAGCAACAGAAGAAAAGAAGTTGTGGAGAACAATTATCAGCAATGTTTGGAATGGATAAATACTGTATTCATTTTTTTGAGGTTTATTTTTTATTTTATTTTTTTGTAGCTGTCACAGTTAAGTTTTTAATTCCAACACAAAGTCAGTCTATACCGGGGTTGAATAAGACAGACAAATTTTGTTGATTGAAATAAGCTTATTCCTCATATGAGGTGATTTTGGATTTTATTGCATATTAATTATATATATATATATATATATATATATATATATATATATATATATATATGTGTGTGTGTATATATATATAAAGTCCAATGTCAAACTACTTGCAGACTGAGTGACAAAGTTTTCCTTTCAATTTGTTTTGCTAAAAGTCAATTTTAAATCTATACAAATAGATACACCAATTCCAATATGTGCAAATCATAAGAAATATACGTACAAGTTGTCGATGCTAAATATTACATGTAGATACAATGGGTTGCTATGCAAAATGTGGTTCTTGTGGGTCGCAGTAAAAAAAAGTTTGAAAAACAGATGTTGGTCCCTTAAGTCCAGCAATAAAATACATATAGTAATCTCAATATTTATTTAAAAAATGAGAAGCCATGTTCTAAATATATGTATATGTTGGCCAAAATCAATTTTCATTAATATGAAATGATATGTGAGAATATAAAAATTGACACATTCCTGTAATGTTAGAAAGAAAAATTAAATGCATTGTTTAAACAAATTTTTTATGACATGTATAATCTTAGCCATCTAGGCCAGAGGTTATGATATGGTTCTTTAACAAGAAGAGATATATATATATAATAATGATTTAAAATCAATCATCATTTTCTTACAAAAAATGTGACACACAAGGCATGAGTAATTTGGCTAGTGCATATTATATATATATATATATATATATATATATATATATATATATATGTGTGTGTGTGTGTGTGTGTGTAATTTCAATAACAAGCACTAAATGAAACTTCAAGAACAGTCAAAAATTCTATAACTTCTATAAAAACTTTATTATGCCCCACATGTCAACAAAATAAGAAATAAGGAATAACTTAAACATAAGTTATATTTTAGTAGACACATGCCATCTGAATTTTTTCTTTCTTTTCTTTAAAAAAAGAAAAAAGAAGTCAGTGTCAATGACATCAACCAGAGCCTGTGCACTCAAGTATACACTTCTTTATTAAAACTCTTGAAGACACAGGACAGTAGATGTAATTCATACTGTTTAAAAAAATAAAAACAGAGTGTCTATTCAAACATGTGCATCCACTAAAATATGTTTAAGCAAGTAGATTAATACTAAACTTTAATAATTCTTTAGAAATCACTGTGCTCATGTATTACACACAATATACAGAATTCTTCTACATAATGGTAAGACATTAGCGAGATCAAGACACCATTGCCACCAATGCCTTATGTTAGATGTATTCCTGCCACACCCTGTATTACATGAACACACATTTTTTCTCTCCATACATACATAACTATGTCAAAGGTACCATACGAGATTAACACCAATAACTAATATTAAAAGAGGACAATTCTAATAATATACTGCATAAAAAGTTGTGACTGATAGAAGATTCATTCTATACATAGATCTTAGAAAACCCAGCATAGAATTCTTTTCTTATTAAGTGAAGTACTTTCAGAGTTTTCATTTAAACAGGAATATTTTGTGGCTTTTCTTTGGCATAAGTGAATTGCCAGCATCTCTACTTATGTGTTTTGGGACCATTATTAAGGAAACTTTGGAATTGTTTAGTTCTGGGACTCTCTGTGGGTAACTGAAACTGCGGATCACTGAGGTGGGCACTGAATCTATATACACCATTCAGGCATATTCACAGGCGTTGGAATAGTGCACTTTCAAAATAGAAAAATATGCAGCATTGCATACCAACTGTTCAGGCCTGATTATTAAACCATTAACAGATCAATTTTGTGTGCTGAGTTATCTCCCCTAACCACTTCCAGATCAATTTTTGCCATCAAATGTCTCAAATTTTATAAGATTATTTAAGGCAAGAATCATGAAAAAGTGTATTTTTTTTACTGTTTTTGCTGTAAACATTTATGTAAATAAATACACAAGGCAAGCATCCATAACTTCCCAGATCTACTTATACATGTAATATTCACTTGCCAGATTTAACAATAGAACTAAAATTCTCACTATAAAAAAAAAAAAAAAAAAAAACATTCAGTACAGAAAAACTGAAATTGTAAATCTGTTTGTTGACACTATTTTTTTTAAAAATTGATGCTGCCATATCTTAGAAGTTGAGGATAGATTTGTTCTTGGTCTAAAATATGACAGGATGCCTAGATATTTTTTGGCTCAGACTAATGAGTTAACAATTGATGTTCCATAAAAGAATAAAATACTTTTTAAAAATGCTTAGACTAAGGTATAACACAGGGTCAAATAGAAGAAATACCAAAGAAGGGGTAATCTGGGTGATTGGTACCATTCAAAAAAATGAGCCTTGAAAATTCAGCATTCAAAACTGGAGCCTTTTACTTGGGCTCAAACAATGACAGTGAACAATCCTACCAAGCAATCAAAACACTATAAATTCAAGTTTCTTTTATAGCACTTCTCTCTTCCAGCTTCTTGATTCCCAGTCAATTTTGATCTTCAAAAATTTTAAATCCAATATCAATTGTTATCTTCTGTCTTCTTAATTCTTGGTCTCTCTTAATAGTGTTTTTATTATATATATATATATATATATATATATATATATATATATATATATATATATATATATATTAATTCTCTAACACTCAGTAACCCCGGAGTCTTAGCAGCTCTATTTTCTATTATTTCAACTTTATCCCACAGTGAGTGAGGATCTCCCTTCTCCCTCCATATGTTATGACTTTACGGTGTTCTTGCAGCCTTATCTTAAAGGGACAGCCTGTTTCTCCTTTATATTTCTTGCCACTGCTGCACAGGACTAAATAAAGGGTTTTATTCAAAATTCCAACTGATATCACCTGAAGATGGCCGGAGCATACAATGGCCAAAATGTTATGAATATGGCAGAAAAGGCCAACAGTCTAAATGATGTAAATAGAGTAAATTGTAATTTCGAACTGGTAACTTGTTTCTCTTACTCCATCTCATAACTCTCATGATGCAGTGAGGGTGTGTAGCATGCGGCATGACACAGTTGTAGCTGTTATTTGGAAGGCGGTATTTACTTGACTCCCATGAGGTCAAGATGTGACACAAGGTCGTTTTGTTATATGGAAGGCAGACACGAGGAGACTATCCTTTTTCAGATATCTGAGGTGACTAAAAAAGAGTTAAAGACCTTTTAAGTCAAGGTGGAGAATATACATGTATTATGGAAGTCATAAGTTAGGTATATAGACCAGGGAGAGTGAAAGAGAAAGAATTGGTGTTTTATAGATTAAATATCAAACTGATACCATCAGCAGTTGTCATGGTTAGCTTGGGAAGAGAGAGTGTAAACAGGGCATTTCCACCACCACTCTGGAATTTAAGAGGTCATCCTCAATAAATGGTGTATTACAATTTCTTTTTATGACAGCCCCAACTTTCAGTTATATACCATGTGTTATACCCATTTAGGTGATCATGTGTCATTTGATACATGACCAACGAGGCAGATTTTTTCCCCACAGTAGGTTGCCATTTCTTTCTGCAGTAGACCAGTTGCCATCCAAGGGTACAGAACCTGGTCTATAACCATAGTTGGAGGAGGAGGAGAAAAGGATTGATACCTTTCCCGAAGGTATTAGCACCTAAGTGAAGGTCATGGATTCAACTGGAATTCGAACCCGGCTTTCAGATTTCTCAATCCAAGCTGTTATCCATGTTTCCATAAAGAAAAAATATTAATTGTTGATGTTACTGTATAGCAGGATTGACAGATATATTCCAAATATAATCTTTTGTTCAGCTGTAGCTTAGAAAACATTACAGTGAAAACCCATGATGAGCATTACAGTGTTATCCCTTTCATGATCAAAAAATAGAAAGAAAAGAATAGAAAGAAAAGAATAGAAAGAAAAGAATAGAAAGAAAAGAATAGAAAGAAAAGAATAGAAAGAAAAGAATAGAAAGAAAAGAATAGAAAGAAAAGAATAGAAAGAAAAGAAAAAAGAAAAGAAAAGAAAAAAGAAAAGAAAAAGAAAGAAAAGAAAAAAGAAAAGAAAAAAAGAAAAAGAAAAGAAAAAAGGAAAAAGAAAAGAAAAAAGAAAAGAAAAAAGAAAAGAAAAAAAGAAAAAAGAAAAGAAAAAAGAAAAAAGAAAAAAAAGAAAAAAAAGAAAAAAAAAGAAAAAAGAAAAAAAAAGAAAAAAGAAAAAAGAAAAAAGAAGAAAAAAGAAAAAAGAAGAAAAGAAGAAAGAAGAAAAAAGAAAAGAAGAAAAAAGAAAAGAAGAAAAAAGAAAAAAAGAAAAAAGAAAAAAAGAAGAAAAAAGAAAAGAAAAAAGAAAAGAAGAAAAGAAGAAAAAAAGAAAAGAAGAAAAAACAAAAAAGAAAAAAAAAAGAAGAAAAAAAAAGAAAAGAAGAAAAAAAGAAAAGAAAAAAGAAAAATGAAAAGAAGAAAAAAGAAAAGAAGAAAAGAAGAAAAAAAGAAAAGAAGAAAAGCACCCTTTGTATGTTATTTAAAGACAAAATATTTTTATAACATTTTTGGTTTTTTGGGGGATAATGATTTAGTAATACAAGTTTTACTAATTAACCCACAGCTGAGGGGGACAAGAGGTAAATTTACTCCTTTCCCAAAGATATTTGCATGCTAGTGAATATAAAAAACCAAACAAGATTTGGAACTCAGCTTTCTGGGCCATTATCCATTACATCACCTTCACATCCAAGCTGACAACACCCGGTATTTCCAAGCAGTCACCCATCAAGGTACCGACAGGTTTGAAGTTGCTTAACTTTGGTGATCATATGGGAGCCGTTTTTTTCAACATGAAGTGGCTGTACTAGTAATGTTTCAGTGAATGGGTGTCACAACAAAAACGAGGAAGACAAAGAAGGGGAGTAAATGAGTCAGAGTTACTTAGGGCAACAAAGACAGGAAGTTGTGGAGAGCTGTAATTGCTAATGTCCCGAAATGTCATATGGACAGAAGTATGTTATATATTGGAATTTATTTGCATCATATTGTTCAAACTGTTGGCCTCATCTTTATTGCTATATTCACAATGTTTCAGCCATTGTACACTCCAGCCTTCTTCAGGTGATTGAAATTTCATAATGAATAAAGGGTTCAGTTCTAAAATCCAATCACCTTGAAGAAGGCTGGAGTGAACAACAGCCAAGACATTATGAATATGGCAATAAAGATGAGGACAATAGTCCGAACAATGTAAATAATCCTCATTTCAGAAATATCGACAGATATTGGAATTTTATTTGAAATAGTCAGATATTCATTTTTGATAAGGATTTCTTTCATCTTAATTTTATTTGCTTTATTTTACACTGGTAGTATAAAGTAGTAATATGGTTTTGAATTTTATTCTGAGATGAAACATTATCAACCATTATTAATTTTTGGCTAGGATTTCTTTCCTCTTAATTTCAGTTGCTTTTTATTACATTGGTAGTATTAGTAGTAATATTAATTTGAATTTTATTCTTATTAGATGAAGCATTGTCAACCATTATTAATTTTTGGTTAGGATTACTTTCCTCTTAATTTCTATTCTATACCCACCTATTACCAATTTCCATGCATATACCCATCTGTCAGGGTGTCTAACAAATCTCTAATATAGATGTCCCCTCAGTCCACAGAATCTACCTGTGATTTATACTATAACTATGATGAGCTGTTTCTAGGAGATTGAATATGCCAGATATTCTATTTCACTCACAAGGACAACACACTCAAAACTCTCAGTCACAAAACTTTGGTTAACCCGTGGTTTTGTGTTCATGCACTTTCCAAAAAAGGGCATCTACTGTGATCGCCTCCCCAAGTCAATATTATCAAGAAGTCACTTCCTTGACCAATCAACCCTGGTGAGATTCGAACTCGGGTTTTATTGCAAGCAAGCAAATGTTCTAACCACATGACCATAATTTCTATTACTAATTGTCATTTTACAGTGGTTAATGAGTTGAAAAGAATAATATGAAAAGAAGTTTATTTATTTTCAGTCTGCAGAATCATAGAATGATAGTTGAGTGAAAGACTAAAGTTAAGAAAATCTAGACTTGATTGATTTGTTGGGTTTTTTATGATTTATCAACCTTTTGCAACTTATTTAAAGCAAGAAAATATTTATAGATTGTAAGAATTTTTTGGAGATGATAATGATTTAGTGACTCTTGATAGATTCATTTTCTTTATTATCTGTGAATTGCCTTGAGTTCTTGGGGAAAAATAGTAGAGTGGTTTCCTGTTGTCTTCTCTATGGTTCAGAATTTGGAGTTTTCCTTCTCTTAGACTGGTTGCTACCTAAGGCTAGAAAGACCAGTCTTCTCTGCTATTTAACCCATATCCAGGGGAAGAAGAGATGGATTGGTGTGAAAGTGAATGCAACAGACTAGACCAGAATTTGAACTCTGCTCAGATTCCACTTTCTGTATCCATATTCATGACACTACCAGCACATTCACTAACCTTGTCATTACTTTTTAAAAATAGTAAATACAGAGTAGAAATATAACCCCTTTAATGGATTGATTTACTTTTTTTTTTTTTTTTAAATGGCTTTTGCAGGCTATTTAGAGCCTGAAAATATTTTTGGATTGTAAAAATATTTTAGAGATAATGATTTAGTGGTACAAGTCCAACTAATTAACCCATAGCTGGGAGATTCATACCTTTCCCAAGGCTACTTGTTCATAAGTGAATATAAGGAATCCAACTGGAACTTGTCTCTCTGATTTCCAATTCTGAACTGTTATCCAGTACACTACCTGCACTTCCAAGCTTGCAGCAACTGGTATGCTTAAGTGGTCACCCATCTAGGTACTGACCAAGCTCAGTGTTGCTTAACATTGGTGATCGTATGAGAATTGGTGTTCCAGCATGATGTTGCCATAAGCCAACAAAATCAAGAAAAGAGATCTATCACCTCTCAGATAAATATGTTGATTTACTCTTGAAAAATCTCAAGAACGATTCATGAACAACAGAAAAATTAAAATTAATGTCCAGAGCTTGACAGTTGTTAGCTCAAGTTTAATTAACATCCAAAATCTTCATCTAAATAACAATGCTGTTGCTACTGATTTATAAATTACAAGTATATTGTTTCATCATCAATGAAGTCAAAAGTGCCTTCTCTTTCACAACCTGCTGTAGTTGTTCTCTTCAAAGCTCAATTGTCTAATTAAGTTATCTTAATAGAAACAAATCGATGTGAATTCAATTCCAAATAAAAGGCTCCTTCCTAAGAGGTTTGTTCTTGTTAAAAGGCCATCACTGCTGCTGCCACTGCACAAACCTCAATTGATTGAAAACAAGGTTACCTTCTGCCATGAGCCACATTTTTTACTGATTGATGAAAAAATTATCCAACTGCAGAAAAGAATTTCTATCACCTCTTGTTTGGTTTTGGTATAACACGAGAATCTGTAGGCTCAAACTAAAAAAGCAGTAAACCATATCAAAGTGTTAGTCTAAAAAAAAAAAAAAATTATATATATATATATCACTAAGTAAAGAATTTTTTTTTCTTGTCCTGCTTAGTGGTTGAAGAATTCAGTAAGGGGAGAACTTGCTTTCAATAAACCTAAGTCTTGGACTGCTTGGTAGCTGAGAGAGATGAATGTTTACCAGTGGCATAAGCAGTTTCAGTTCAAGCTCAGGGAAAACCTCATTTTTCTACAGATTTTCAACAGAAGACAGACTTTCTAACTTGGGAGACAAGCTCAATCTTTCTCTTCATATCTGGACACATACCATAGCAAGCTTTCTAAACAGCAATTTAAAAATAAAAAAAATTTTTTTTAATTCACCCCAATCAAGGCAATAATACCACTAAGACACAAGGAGCTACTCGGAGTGAAAGAGAATGAAAATATTTTAGAAGGGACTGGAAACCCAATCCTAAACAGGAAACAAGTGATAAACCCAACCTCCTAACACATAAAAATTACTCATCAAATTTTAATAAGGCACAAGGCCAGAAGAATGAGATAGATAACACGCTTACTCGACAGCAGGTACTTAATTATTTACAGTGCACCCCACTATATTGTTATGCATTTTCACATTCTATGGGTTCATTTACAGATGGTCAACCCAAAAAATACACAATAGATACTTCAGTATAGGGGTAATGGTTAGCAAACTAAGTTTGTTGATTTTAGGATATGTCAATCCCTTCTTGGATTATTTAATGTTAAATTTTGTATGGGGCACCCAGTGAGGATCAAGCTTACTATTCAGTAGTAATGGTCAACCTAACTAATGTCACTAACCATTACCCCACACTAATGTACTTGAAAGTGACTTTTGCTATGACAGTGCATTGCAAGTGACTTGACTGCTTGTCTATGCCCTCAAGGAACATGGCATAAAAAACCCCAAAAAAACAATATTGATAATAATAGCTTCTCTCTGTCTTTTCTACAAATATTTTTATGGTAATTGTTTTGAAGAGCTTTCCTTTTTGGTATCTTAACTTTATAAATGTAAGCAGAGAACTAGATTAGCAGTTAGGTCTCATCATTTTATACTTGAAATTTCTAAATGAAACCATAAATTGTATACTAACAGTTTCTTCTCTTGCACTTCTTGTTTATAGAACTCTCTTCCCCACTTCGAACTTTCCAATTAATTTCCATCTTAGAAAATTTCAATGTAATGTCAATCATCATCTCAATTCCAATTCTTTTGTAGTTGTTGCTCCTTAATTTTCATATTCTTTTACACTCAGTAACCAATTGCTTTATCACCTTGCTTGGGGTGAAATAATAATAATAATAAAAAAAAAAAAAAAAGGAGAGACAGAGAGAGGAGCTGACCTTGCTGCCAATCTAGTAGTAGGCTTAACTTCATAAAATCCAGGTACCAAAAAGGAAAGCTTATCAGAGCAGTTACCATGGAAATATTAAGAGAAAAGGCACAGGGCTTGCTAATAAACATATTACATCAGTCACTCACTGAATACTCACAATTTTTTTCTCAATTTCTGTCATAATTTCTTCAATTAGGCATAATTATTTATAGCCAGACTAATATCCTCATCTTACAAATTGTCATCACAAAATTTCACCTGTTCTACCCTCTGGCTTTTTTCAGGTGTGTCAATCTGGGTAACCTTGAGATAATTTCAACCTGAACCCTTTATTTAATCTATGGGGGTATACTGTTCTTTTTCTACTGGCCATGTCCAAAGACGTCTTGTTCTTTTTAGTACTAGTGGATTAAAGTGTTGGTTCATGAATTTGGTGACATAGTAATTGTGAGTTCAATCCCTGGGCTGGGCAGTGTGTACTTTGACTCAGTTGGTGGAATCAATGGACAACTTGCCAAAGCCTAAAACTCTTATCCAGATAAAGTCTCAAACAAAAACAACTATACTAAAAAGAGAAATAGAAAAAAAAAGCCTAAAAGCAAACCTACCTACTCAGTAAAGTACTCAAAGCCTAGATTGCCTGGATCTAGCAAAAGATGCTTAATGTTAAATCCTATCAAAGGATGGCCATATTATATATATATATATATATATAGTCAAACCTAGTGAGCCAGACAAACCTACCCAGGTTTCACCTAAGCGGATTGCCTGTTCTACAGTTGTATTGAGCTCCTTTTAGTTAGTTGTTTACTCGTGTCGGGGTGTTTTCTTTGGGCTTTGAACCTGTATCTGTGTGATTTTTTTTCGACAGACTTTCATGTTCCTGGCTCTTCCTTTTTTTAAAAACTTTTTTTTCTTCGAGATTGATTTGATTATTGGCAAATCAAAAATTCAAAGGTTTTTCAAGACGAGTATATATATATATATATATATATATATATATATATATATATATATATATATATATATAAAACTGTCACCCATTTGGTCACTCAGTAACTGTTTTCACATAGTACATTTTAGGGCTGCTTTTATTCAATACTTCTGGCTACAATGCACTGTTTCAGCTATTTATAGGTTACATACAGACATACAAAATCAAACTGACAATGCCTCCCCTGACTAAAATTATGATGATTAATAATTCATTATTTACATGAGAACTATTATCCTCATCTTTGTTGATGTTATTTTATTATAGGTTACCCAGATCATCTGATTCTTAACTGAATCCTTTATTTAACCTATGGGGACAGACTGTTCTTGTTCCACTGGCCATGTCTAGGAATATCACGTTGTAATATAGCAACAGCTCTAAGTAGAATCTTATGAAGCTTTATTTGACTCATTCAGCTTTAACACTGAAAACATTTATTTTTATTATAGTGGATGGTAACAAGCAAGAGGGGAGATGAGATATGCTTATGTTATTACCACAATCATCATTCTTATTTTTCCTATGGGACAACAGTCTATTGGATTAAAGCATTAGTTTGTCAATTTGGTGACATAGTAATTCTGAGTTCAATCTCTGAGTTGGGTAGTGTAGACTCAGAGGAAACAGTGGGCAATAACTTAGCAGTACAAAAGAACAAAACGAGATATCTGTAGACATGACAGATTGACAACAATCTACCCCTGTACATTAAATAAATGGTTCTGTCTAAAATTCTCTCAAGGTTAACCAGATCAGCAAACACCTGAAGAAGGCCAAAGGGCACAACAGCTGAAACGTTATAACAAAAATAATGAGATTCATCTGAATACAAACAATTTGTTTTTTGTCATTTTTTAATAAAATGTTGAAGCAAAGATAACAGAAAATAATATTTTAAATTATATGATTTGTTATTTTTATAACAATTCAGTTTCTGGTCTTGTAAAATAATTCTAATTATCAAAATAAGGCTGGATTTAAATATTAACGTGAGAAAGCAAAAACATATCAAAGATACTACTTGGTTTCAATGAGAAAAAATTAAGGAAGGGAAGATAGAAGTGTTTAAAGTCTGTTTGAGTGAAATGGGGAAAAAGTTGTCAATTTAAAATCTTTTCATTTGTACCCACTTCTTAAAATAACAACCAACATTCATATTTATGATTGTTATTGCAATATTTTATTAAAGTTGTTAAGCTCAAAATATTTAATGATGCAATAGGGGAATTTCTATGGATATTTTATTGTCATAGAACTCACTATGAGCTTAATTCATTAACTGAAATTTCAAATAGGAAAATCATTAAATTTTCAGAGCATAAAATTAGTAATAATAATAAACTTTTAATTATAATTTTAAATTAAAAAAAAATTAATTTTGAAAATTATTTTTTTTTAAATTAAGCAAACAAATGCCAGAAGCAAAATAATTATAGCTGAAAGTATACAAGTGAGCGTGAAGATGAAAGGGTGTGCGTGAAGATGAAAGGGTGTGCGTGAAGATGAAAGGGTGAGCGTGAAGATGAAAGGGTGAGCGTGAAGATGAAAGGGTGTGCGTGAAGATGAAAGGGTGGCGTGAAGATGAAAGGGTGGCGTGAAGATGAAAGGGTGTGCGTGAAGATGAAAGGGTGTGCGTGAAGATGAAAGGGTGTGCGTGAAGATGAAAGGGTGCTCGGGTAGTCAATATCTGTCTTAAAGGCTATATCAAAGGTAGAATGAAAATGGGTCACTAAGAAGAGCCTCTCACCTGTAATTTTCTTTCGTGTTATTATACTTATCAACCTTAAATGAAATGGGGTGTTAAATTTGCAAATGTTTTTGCCAAATTCTGAAATTATTGGTGGGAAGTGGTAGAAGTCCTACCTGAAACTACTTCATAGGATGCATTCAGGAACTAACTGTACAGGCTTGAGCATAAATAATAATTATATATATATATATATATATATATATATACATATAAATAATGGACTCTCCCGTCGGTTTCAACGTATGAGGATCTGACAGCTTATTGATTCAATTATGAAAGCTTGTGCGATAATCTTAAGTGGCATTTAACACCCGCTAGTGATTTACAAA